ATTGCGTTGTCATTGAAGGATATTTGTAGTCAGAAGTTTGGGGCATAGAATTGAAGAACTGGGCTTCAGATAAGAGAAATGACACTGGAAGCAGAGTAAGGAGCGCAAAGTGGGATGGATGACTGGGGTTTGCAGCAACATTGCCCAGACATCATTTTAAATCCTGACATGTACACAGCCAGTTACTGCAGCTTAGCTGATGTGTGTTAACTCATTAAGTTAAAAAGTTATGATAATTTGATCATGTGCCTAAGCTCCAAAACTGCAACTGCAGCAGCCCAAAATACTGCTGGTGACACTATTCACCAGTTCTGACAGAGATGCTTTAATTTGTTCAGATTTCTAGCCAGTGGATAATTTGAGTAGCTGTATCCTAAAATGTAGCAAGAAGCCATGAGTGCCAGAATGTGAGCCAATGCCTGTCTGTGGGACCTGAGAGCTGGGATCAGGTGTAACTCATGCAATGAAATGCCTGTAGAAGATCCCAGCAACAGAAAAAAGGCAATAGGTGAGCAAAGCAGAAAGGAGACAAACTTCCAGAGATTTCAGCCAGTTAAGCCTCCTTTTGAAAGCCTAAATTCAAACTTTGGAGAATAGAACTTTCTGAGATATTGCAGGTCACATGTAGATTTGGATCTGTCTGTTTGGAGTCTGCACACCAGCCTCCACCTCATCAGTTCTGCCCACATCCTGCCACTGAACTTAAGGAGAGATCACTCTGCATCCTCTTTGTTATCAAAGAAAACCGGGGGCAGTACAAGTTTCGTTAAGGGAACTGCGAGGGAGGTGAAAGGATAAGGCTGGTGGAAAACTACAGGTGTCTTCTGATTCTGCTTGAAGGAGCAGAGCGTACCGTATCTTTGCTTTGCTCTGTGAAGCCTCAAAGCTTCTGTGCAGAACTGTGTGTTAAATATCTCAAGCTTTTATCTCCTTCTATACCTCTCTCTGTAGGTATTTAATTGCATATTTTCTCTCTGCTGTTTATGTGTGCCTTGGTCCCTATTCATAATTCAGACTTGAAAGACACTGGATCCTTCCTTATTGAAATGGTCCATAATCGCTGACACAGTGTTCATAAACCCATTTATTGCCCTGATTTATCTTCTTTCTCAAAACACTTCCTTTTTTCTTATTTTCTGCACTCTTCTGGGTCTCTTGCTCTGTCCCCATTTAAAAAAATTATTACAGTGGAGAACAATTGGTATTCAAGTCAGGAGGTAACCTTAGCTAGCACTAACACCACAGTTATCTGGGCAAAGAGCATTGCGGTTCTAACTCCCTTCTGTATGGAAAGAGTAGGGCAAAGGAGCTTGATGGAACTTCTTTAATTGCTGCTGTGATTTGTCTCCCTTTGACACCTTGTGCAAGGCCAGTGTGAATGCTAGAGGTCTGGAGAGGTGTTTCAATGTGCTTGGGCCAGGAACCTACACACTGTACATGAGGGGCTACCAGCATCTTCATGCCCTGTGCTCAGTAAATCTGTGCCTGCTAAGAAGCAGCAGAACTGGCATTCATTGCTCTTTTATCTGATAAAAGGGGTGTATTGAAATGCTGTCACCTGCCTTTCTGACTATGATTATTTCTTGATTTTGGCCCTCAGGTCCACCTGGATCCAGATGGCGAGATTATGGGGCTTTGGCTATCATAATGGCAGGAATTGCCTTTGGATTCCACCAGCTCTACAAGGTAAAGCCTCCCTCTCTACTCTTACACTGTACTCTGAGAGAAGGATGTTACGCTGCTTGAGTTGAAATTTATCATGTTGGTTCCAAGACAGTGAAGCATCTCTGTTCTTACTGACACTGCCATTGGTATATTTAAGAAATGCAGACACTTAACATGAAAATGCCTGATCTATGATTTGTCCACTGGTGATCCGGCACCACGGATAGGAAAGACTCTTCTTTGACCAAGCAGAAGGTTGAAAAGAAGGTGCTAATTCCTAGGTCTGCAATGTGTCCGTAGTTCTACTCCAATGTGCTTAGACCAGGGTAGAGCAAGCGTGTGTCTGCTTGTGTTTGGTAGAGACAGCAGCCCCCTCTTATTTCTAGTGCACTGTTTTTTCAGTTGTACATATTCTTTCATGCTGCATTTGGTTTCCAGCAATGTGGTGACATTAGATAATGTCTTTGGTAAACAATCATATTCTGTGGCTACATAAAAAGATGTAAGTGGTTCAGGTCAACACAGCAGAGTGTGAAGAGCTTTGGTCCAGTGGAAGTTGTGTTTTATTTTTTCAAATAGAAGAGAGATGAAGACTTAATAAGAGGTTGATGGTTTTCATGTTTGTTTGTTCACTAATTAACGATTACAGCCTTGTTTAGTAAAATCTATTTTACAAATAAAAGCTTGGTTCTCACTTCCTTTAGTCCTGGTTCCTTATTTCTCTTCCTTGTGCTCCAGATCTCTGCCTTTCCTTCTGCGACTTGTAACCCTTCCCCTGCCAAGGTTCAAAAGGTTTTATAATACCTCTCATTCTCTGGCTTGTTCTTTGTCTGGCCTTTCCAGAATATTTCTCCTGTTCTTTCCACTTCTGCATTTCATGCCTTGTATGAATGTGTGTTCACATTTGGGAGCATAAGATCTGAAATTGTGCTCTTGATGTGATAGATGTTTCTCTGGACTGAGAACTGTCCCAGGAAACCTTAAATGCAGTTAGGAACGGGTTTTTAGCACCCCAAAAGATGTGAATGTAGAACTAGTATGTCCTCTTCTGCCATTTCTTTCAACACCTACTGTAGATGGAATTTCATTTTGCAGCCAGGTGTGAGGATAAATGATCACTGCCTCTGTGGTGAAGGCTGAGGTTTGGGTGGTGGACTTTGAGGGTGTTTCAGGTAGATTAGAAAGAGGGCTTTGCATATCCCTGTTTCCTAAGAAAGTTTCTGTACTCCATGCAGAAATACCTGCTTCCTCTCATCATGGGAGGCAAAGAAGACAGGAAGCAACTTCAGAGGATTGAGTCAAACATTTCTGAGATGAGTGGCAGTGTGACACAGACAGGTAAAGATTAATGACTCCATCAGTTCATCCCTCAAAGCCTTTCTCTCTGTATCCTCCATTCTGCCAAGACCCCCACCCTTTTCTTTCCCTCCATCTCCACTTTATATGGTGACTTCATTTATCTGCTCTGAGAATCTGTTCACATTTGCAAATGAAGCCGCCGTCATTTCGGTTTAATTTGAAATTGCTTGTTTACTGTCGGCGCGGCCTCAATTAATTATGTTTTTACGGAAAGGCTCCCAACCTCAGAATATTAATAAGGGGAATAAAATGACAGCCTTTCGGAGGGCTGTAAAGTTCATTTTTAATTTCTGCTTCTCTGATGTTTTCAGGGGGTTGTTTTTGGTGTTTTCCCCCCACCTTCCATCTGAAAATTCAAGGAAGGGTCAGGAGAGTCTGTAATTACTGTGCCTCCCTGACCTCAGCCACCTTCTCTGTTATTGACTCTATAGGGTGTCTGTTCATTACCTGATGCCCTAATGATGGTTTGGATTAGCTGTTACCTGTCACACCAATGGAGTTTTAAATTTTATTTTATTTTACCAGTTTATTTACTGTCAGGAAGCTTTGGGTAAAGTACCAAAATAGAAAAAGTTGTCCTACAGCTGGAGTTGGACTCCTGCAGAAGTTCTTCAGTGTTTGCTGGGGTATAGGAGGGAAATGCAGGGTGTTCTTCTGAAATAAAAGGGAAAAAGAGCAAAGTATATTCAGTTGGTGGGATGGAAAAAGTATGATTTTCAGCAGTAAGTTTGTTAAAGATGTTAGGGTTGAAGGAGCTGGTGTATTGAGAGTGGGAGGATGCTAATTACACTTTTTAGTGGAGGATGAGAAGAAAAACATCTTTCATTTCTCATGATACCCTAAGGTCAATCCTGAGACCAGCCTCTTCCCAGATTGTAGCTAGCCCCAGTGCCTGCCTGTGTGAGGCCCAGGGTAGATAAATGATACAAACACTGTTTAAGTTCAGGGAGATGTACAAATCATAAACCAATATAATTAGAAGGGAGAGGTTTTGGACGGATATACTGTGGGCTATAGACATCTATACAATGGAAAGATAAACTAGAAATAGTGGAGGTTAGATGCAGTGCAGGTAGATTACCCGTAGTGCTGATAAATCATATGGATTAAAGTGAGCAGGCGGGTGTAGATAAATTAAATATAGTAGGAATAGAGGCATCTTTGTAGCTAGACAGCAGGAAGGACGTGTCTGTGTGTGTGTGCATGTGCATGTAACTCAGTTTAACGCTCTCCTGCTTTTTCCCCTTACAGTGACTCAGTTACAGACAACTTTAGCAGCAGTCCAGGAACTGCTAATCCAGCAACAACAGAAAATCCAGGATCTCACACAAGAACTGGCAGCTTCTAAGGTATCCACTTCCAACTCTTCACCTTTAGAACATCACCATCTTCTTTGGACCATGCATAGCTTATTTTGTGGCACATGGAAAAGCACCTTATTAGATTCACAGTCGAGCCTTCAGCTCTATCATATCCCCAGCCAGTTTCTCAGCATCTGGCTTCTCCATAGGCTACGTAGAGCACTGGAAATTAATTGGCTACTCAACAAAATAAATCTGACTTCTGAGAGGGCTTTGCTGCCTGTGGGTCTGAGGCCTCAGACCTCTTCTCAGCTCTGTATCTTATGCATTGCATTTGAGATGAATTAATTGTGCTGTTAGTCCACTGACCAAAAGAGGTAAAAGACCAGTTATGTGAAGGTTTTATTTGTGTGTGATATGTGATTTTTCATGTTTATGTTTCTCCTGTACCCTTGTACCTTGTCAAAACAATGACTTAATCCTGTGCAGCCAAGTACACAATTGAAGTACTGTATTTAAGTCACTTTTTCAGATCCAGGCTAGGTAATGGCTGAACATTCTTACTGTTTGATGTCATGTTTCAGTGGTTTTGGTCATCTCAGTGTAACAGGTGGCCCCATCACAACTACATTAGTCACACATGGTGGCCCATTCCCCTTGACTCCTAACTTGACCCTAGGAATAAAACTATCAGTTCTGACTAGTTGGTGTTGTTACATGTGTAACTACAAGTAACGATTTTTAACCGAAATTTCTTTTCTTTCTGGCAATGAGAATTAGCACTTCTTGTCCCCAAAGTACTTTGCAGCCATTGGCCTAAGAGTTTTGCCAGCCAATAAGGGTGAGGTGGGGTGGCTTTGAACCAGTCACAGAGAGATGAAGTCTCCCTTTCACTCACAAACTTGTGATTGTTCAGGCCCCAGTTATCTTGCAGTATTCTCTGTACGGAGAGAGATGTTTCTTTTTTCTATGAAATGCTTTAGACAATGCTTACAGTCTTCTACCTATAGCATGAACAGTGGTCTTCTCCCCTTACTTACACTTTAATCTGGTACAAACTCTTTGATGGTGTGTAACTGGTGGCCCACAGCTGACGCTGTGGTGTGCACACTGTACAGTAGGAATCCCTCAGTGGCACAGCTGTAAACCCAACCATGAAAGTCAGTTTATGGTCACAACACTCTACTTCAATTTTCCTTGGGAACTGTGGCCTGTCAGTGGCCTGGAGCCAGTCCGGAAATTGGAAAACTGTTTTCAGGTCTTAAGTGTTAAGATTAAGACCACATGTTGAGCTTTAAGAAGGAAAAAGGGCGTAAGAGTCTTGGTGGTTTAGTCTTGAAGAAGTTTTTCCTCCCCCCTCTCTGCCCCCTGCACTGAAATAGTAGCACACATTGTTATGATATCTAAACCTCATGTGTACAAAGAAAAACTTGGGCAACCCCACAAACCAAAGAATAAAAGCTGTGTTTTCTCAGCTGTAATGTAAGTTTTTATATCAGCTTTTCAAACTCCTACTGGCATGCTGTAAAAAATTAAAAAGAGGGACTTTAAGTAATTAAAAAACGTACATAAAAATGCAAGGCTTAAATTTTCTACAACTGTTTTTTAAAGAGACTGGCTAAAAAGCCCCAGATGTCAGATTTTATTTCTAAATCCAAGGCATCTGGCACCATATGTGTTTTGGAAATTTGAGTCCTTTGCAGGCCAGTGAGTGGAAATCACTCCCTTGTTAATGTGCTGCTGTAGCTTTCAAGGTCTCGGAAAGCCAGAACAGTGGCTCCTGGATTCTTGCTGTCTGAGGGCTGAGAGTGTGAATCCCAAGGGAACGCATGTGTGTACATCACAGCTACTACTGGCTGAGCCTCTCCCAGCTTGCTGGGTTCACAGCCCAGAAGTCACTGTGAGGAGTGCTGGCTGTGAAGGTGTCCAGGGTTACCCAGCACTAGCCAAAGTCTGTTTAAAGAATAAGTAGGAACAACCAGTTCTGGCTACATCTTTTAGGAACTGCTGAGGAGGAGCTTTGTGTTATTTCAGTCCTGGCTTCCTTTGTCAGAGGATTTATTAGGAGTATTTCTGGAGCAGTGCTCACAAATGAGTTCAGTCCTAATGGTTTTTAGCAGAAATTACAATGGGTAGTGCTAGGCATGAGTGTTGTTTGGTCCCATACTCAGCCCATCACTGCAGGAGTTGCTGGAGTGATAGGATGGGGTGCTAGGTCATGATCTGTCTTTCAGAATGTTCCTCCCAGTTCTTAAGTTCTCAAAGGAGTAAAAAGAAAGATTACCAGAAGTGCAATTTGCCATGTTTTCCTTAGTTGTCACCTTATTCTAATTTCTGCCTGATATCCCATAGCAATTCTGATACAGTGCTCACAGCAGCTTTCTTATCATCTTTCCCCACCAACTTGCATTCATTGCCTTGAAATATCCAAGAGAAAGTATCTAGTCCAGCTGCTTCCTGGACATACAATCTGGGAACCTAAGCAAAGCTCTAATTCTTCAGATCTAGTGGGGAAAATGTATGCAACTTTGAAGCATGGATTTATCAACCCACCTCAATAAACACCACAGGGTGCAGACAATGGATTCATTATTTCATGATTAGGATAAACGAACAAATGGGTTTAGAAGTTGTTAATATATAATATTTGAATCTGTTGCCTCAGCTAAGTGCAGTCACAGGACAGTGAAGGACCTGATTCAGTGCAACTCCCACTGCCTTTCAGGATCTAGTTCTAGTTCTTCTTTAGAAATCATTCATTAGGTCAATGTCAAGTGATTTAGTTTACCTAGTTTTGTATTGTTCTCTATCTGATATGTTGGTGAAAAACATCTTCTGTAGCTTTGTCTGGATTCTCACAAGTGCTGGCCTCCCTCTAATCAAAAAAGAAATGCTTGAGATGCTCCAGCAGTGGTGCTCATGGCATGTTGGAGACAAGGTTAATTAGACCCCCAAACACACAGCAAATATTGGAATAGTCTTAGTATCCTGAGACAATTATTTCTGATCATCATGGGGACCCATTCAAGTCCTTCTTTATTGTGGAAGTTGTTTTGCTCAGATCTGAGAAAGTTTAAATGAAAGAGCTTCTATATGTTATTCCCAGGGCTTGAGGTTTCCAGATGGGAGGAGAGGGAGGATAACATAGAAAAAACTGACATTTGTGAACTGTCTCCCTGTTGACGCGTTTATGTTTATGTCTTCTTTTTAATGTTCCAGGCCACAACTTCTACCAACTGGATTCTGGAGTCACAGAATATTAATGAATTGAAATCTGAGATCTACTCATTAAAAGGCCTTCTCCTAAACCGGTATGGATGGAATATATGAGCAGATTATTGTGCGGGGAAAGGGTTGATTTCTGGGATTCTCTCAGTCATGGAGAGGAAAAGCATTTCCAGCAGGAACTAGCTCTATATCCTGTTACTGCTATTTTATTAATACCACTTTGCACTCTACTATCACTTTCTCAAGTCTCAAAATGCTTTTCAACCTTGCCCTAAATCACACAGTGCTTTGGGTAATTAGTAAGAGTTTTCCTTTTTGTTTACGATAGAGGAATTCTCTACCATTCACTACAGTCAGGATGCCCCTCATCCAGTTGGAGATATTGGCTGCATCTGCACCTGCCTTCTGTTAGAGAGGAAGTTCTGGACACAGTTCAGCTGACCTGTTCATGGTTAGGGCATAAACAGGATGAAAACATTTGCACTTCAACAGAGCCTGTTGCTCTCAATAGCTAGCTCAGGTATACCCATTATGTAGTAGGCATCTGAAATGAGGTGACACAAATCCCAGCCTGTGCAACAGTTGTAAGAAGAGGGATCAGATCTCAGTTCTTGAAGAAATGTTATTTTTCCAAGTACATTACTTAAGAGTTTATCTGGCTTTTCAGCTATTGATGCTATCACTGTGATAGGACTCTCTTGCCTCCTTCTACCTACAATGAAGTCTTCTCAAGTCATCTGTTTCCTAAGAGATGGACTTCAAAGATAAGTCAAATACTGGACTAGCCATGTTCTGGATCTCAGAAAATGGGCTTTTCAGAAGTCTGAAAAGTGTGTTGGCTTTAATGTCTTTTTGAATTGTCGCAACATCTCCCGTTCCTCCCAGGAGGCACAATAGAAAGCTTAGGAGGATTGAGGACACATACTAAGCTACTGTCTGTTAAGCTAAGTCCTACTAGCATCACTGCTGGGGAGAATTAGTTAGTGATATCGCTTCAGCAACAGGAAAGTTGCAGCAAAAAAGAAAACTCTTGGGGCGGTTGTTTTTTAAGAAAAAGGCAAATGTTTCTGCAGTGAGGAGGCAGCCAAGAAAGTCTCCAAATTGAATCTGTTGATTGCATTTCTGATACTGGCTGAATAATGCAAACTTTAGCTTGTGCACTCAGAGGAGAGAGAGGTTAGTTCTGTAGAGTTCTTCAGTGGCTGCTGGTGGCAGCAGAAAGAGGGAGGTGAGAGCCAGTTCCTAGTTCAGTCTAAGAAAATGTAATGTTTGAGTGCTCACTGTAGGAGACCAGCCAGCTCACTTGAGAGGTATGAGAGCTCCCTGCCACACAGCATCCTTTTCAGAGCTAGATCTGATACCTCTTCATACTCCCACCTTTGACATACACAAACAAAGATGCATGGGAAGTACTAGATCACACATGCTTTTTCGCTTTGCTGTTCATGATGGATGACTTTCTGAGGGCACCAGTGCTCCCCACTGCATTTACATTTGTCCTGTTTGGGCTGGGCTTTAGCTTGCCACTATCAAATCCTTAAAGCCCACATAGAAAAGGACTCAAGGACAGAGCAGCCAGCTTTCTCAGCTGGTGCAAACTAATATGACTCCATTCAAGTCAGAGAAGCTGAACCCGTTTGTTGGCATCCAGGACCTGGCCCAAACATGTAACGTGCATGCTGGGACTCAGAGATAGTCTCTGGATTGTAATGAGCCAGCATGTGTATCACAGTGGAGGCGAGAGCCAGGTGGTGAAATTCCTTGGCTCAGGCACAAGGACCTGGTGTGTCTGACTTCTTGCTCCAGTGGGAATTTTCTTTACTAATTAATTAGTGATTGTTTTATAAGGGGACACTCATATCTTTCCACAGGCAGCATTCCTGAGTGCTAGTTTAATCTGTGAAATTTGCCACACCAAGATCACCTTAGTACTTCAGATTGGCCAGCTGTGATATTTTCCTTGTGTGTAGGCTTGATTACCAGGTGCTTGTAAAGCACTTTGAGATTCTGGCTGCAGAAGTGAAGTAGCGTTGGTTGTGTTCATTTATGACAAAGGAAACACAGTTTCAGTCCTGCTTTACCTGACTTCCCCAGAGCAAATACAATTCTCTGATGAAAACCCCTCCGTGTTTTTAATAAAAGCCCCTTTCTCTCCTTTTCTTCCCCTCTTCCCCTCCCCCAAGGAGGCAGTTCCCTCCCTCCCCTTCAGCTCCTAAGATCCCATCATGGCAGATCCCAGTGAAGCCAAGCTCACCCTCCAACCCTGTTGTTGCCAACCATAATAGCAGCAGTGACATCTCACCTGTCAGCAACGAGTCTACCACCTCCTCACCAGTCAAGGAGAACCACAGCCCTGAGGGATCAAAGGTCAGCTGCCATCTGCTGAGCACAGAGGAGAGCAACAAAGCAGTGATTGACGTCAAGAGCCAAGTGCGGATGGAGGTGCAGGGTGAGGAGGAGAAAAGGGAAAACAAAAGGAATGAAGAGGAGGAAGAGGACGATGAGGATGATGATGTTAGCCATGTGGATGAGGAGGAATGTCTGGGTGTCCAGACTGAGGACCGGCGAGGAGGGGATGGTCAGATTAATGAGCAGGTGGAAAAGCTACGGAGACCTGAGGGGGCCAGCAACGAGAATGAGATTGACTAAGGCACTCTGGCTTCTGCTGCTGCTGCTGCTGTACATCTTCCCTAGCTCCTGCACTGTCCCTGGTGCCTCTCCCATTTTGTGGAGAGAAGTGCCACCATCCCCTCCAGTGATTCTCCCATGATTGACCTTGAATAGGGTCATGATTGCCCAGTGAACAAGGTGGGCCCTGTTTTGCCACAGGGCTTTGCAGTGTTGCAGTGGCTGCTTCTCCCTTCCCAGACCCACCTTCTCCCCATGAGCTGGGGTCACTGCCTAGGCTGGAAGACCAATCGCCTTACCATGCACCACAGCTACAGAAAAAGTCATCTTACAAAAAACACCATCTCTCCTGAAACAGTCAGCACCTTTGGTGCATCCTAGAGTCCTTCTGTCCAATTTCAGAAACCAGTCTGTCCTGAGCTTTTTGGTTTCACAAACCTTTAATCCTCAGAAAAGGCCCAAACCAGTTTGCTGTTTCCCAAAATAACCCTGTTTTATTTGTCAAACTACTTGATATTGTGTTGCCAAAAAAAAGAATGTTTTAACCCTGAATTCCTCACTAGATCTCAGTCTTGGCTCTTCCAAGCCTTATGACAAGCCTCAAATTCCAGAAACTACCTAGCATCTAAAAACACTGATTTTCTGTGGGGTCCAAAGAACATTATTTCCACCCCACATGCTTAAACTCATCAAGGTGGCCTCTTGCTGAGGACCAAGCCCAGTTTCATGGCCACAGTAAAATCCACAAGAACGTGGCTTTGTTACTGATTCCTCCCCATAAAAGAAGGCTTTAAAAGAAGTTGACCCCAGTCATCCCAGTTGCTACCTTTCCTCCTCCAAAGACAAGGAGTTCACATCAGTTTTTGAAATCTTACATTTTATTTATAGCTGCCCTGAATGAAAGAACGAATGAGGTGATATCAGATGCTGAAATAGGTGGTTAATTCTGAATTTTGCAATGGTTCTTGCCTGTTTTTCTCCCTAAATGAGGTGAAAACTAATTTTAAATGATCAGCTAAGACCTGCACCTACCCTGTGACGGGCACCTGCTTCAGCAAAGCAGTCTTTACGGAAGAGAGAACAGTTCTAGCTCTGAGGTACACCACTGGCCCTTGCCCAGTCCAGCCTTTTTTTTGCCCCATTGGGGCTGTACACAAATTAAAACAGTGAATGTTGAAACCTCTCATTTGCAGCATTTTGTTCTCAGCTGGTAAAATGGTGGTGTCCAATTATATTATACACTGCATCAGAGCCTCTTAGCAGAGCAATTCTTGTGACAACTGAGTCTCACTGTCCTCACCAAGAAAGTGTGCTCGTCTGTGTGATCATGTATAGATTTCAAATATAAAATACAATTGTATATAATTGTAATAAATATGAGTTACCACTATTTAACACCAGGCTGTCACTGGATTACTGTGGCTCTTATTCTGGGGAGAAATATGCATGCAGGGTGGTAGAGGGAGGGAAAAGGGGCTATTACAGAAATTCAGTCCTTATAAACTGTTTTCTGAAGGACATCAATGGTCAATTTTCTGACTCCAGTACTAGGTTGTATCAGCAGGAGGCAGCACAGAGGATGGTGTAAGTGCAGTATCAGGTACAATATCCATAGCTCCAAGCACAGGGCAATGTTAGGTTGCCTCCCATGGTGCAGAGGGATGGATCATCCTGTGAGTACAAGGCAGCTATTCCGGTTCCTCTCCTCCCAGCAGGAGGCTCTGCAGGGTGCAGAATGCAGCATCTGCTCCTTCCCACCCCGGCAGCAGGAGGTGCTGAAGGCAGCGTGGGAGATCCCACCGCCCCTTCCTCTTCTCTGCCAGCAGGGAATGCTGCACCGTGTCCCATGACGGCTCTAACCCTGCCGTGGCAGCACAAACGCCATTCAGAGAAATGGTGCATAGCAAGTCATTTGTAGCTCCTGCAGTCCCATCTTTGTTCACCCAAGTTTTTTGGCTCCCTTCTGAAAAATGAGGGATTTACTTGATTCCTGAGTATTTGAGTGTCTGGTACACAGTGACATTTTCCTGCTCAGGGGGAGAGAAAGGGACCTTCATATTACTGTATTTAGACCTGCTGCTGAATGTGATGATTTCTCATTCCTTAAATGGACGAATATCTTCCCCAGGAGTGAGTGAGTGTGTCTCTCTCTCTCCCTCTCAGTCTCTCTCTCCACTGTTTAACGTTCACAGAGAACGTCACGTTTAGCTAAAACAGGGCAAATTTGAAAGGGTTTAAAAGGAAAGGCTTTTCTTAAGGGATGGCACTTTTCATTTCTCCAAGCCAAGAATCCCTGTGAAAAGAAAACATGACTGAACGCAGGGATGTGATGAAAAAGTATTGTCCTGCCTGTGTACATTTTATATACATAGAAGGTTTTGAAAATAGAAAGTGCCTGGACAACAGCAGTTGGTGAAATGTGGAAAATATGTTGCTGAGGTATGTGCCTTGCAGGCTGACTTACGAGGTTTACAGTACAAGCATCCCTGTGGGTTCCTTTTTCCCCCCTTTTCTTCCATGTTGCCAGTGTTCAATTCATTTACCTTAAATTTCTTGGTGCAGAGTAAAAGGCAATTGTTTTTTCTTCAACTACCTTTTACCCCCCTTAGTTTTTGCTTCTTCCAACCTTTATCAATTCAATAGGTCACAGATTTTCCATTCCCCAACCTGACAGATCCCATAAAACTCCATCTTACCATTGTTGCTCAGAAAAATCAAACTCTGGGCCTCTATCTGCTGATGGGGTGTCTGTGTACTTTGTTGGAGAGATCCAACCCACAAGCAGAGACTCTGGAAGAAGCCAGACCTTCTTACCAGGTATTGTGCATCACGAGATGTATCCCTCTGCCTTATGTTCCTTGTCTTTCCAGCACAGCAACAGTTGTAGGGTGATTATTTTGGTCCTTGTGAACCATGTAGACTGATTGCTAACTGGTAATTTTTTTTCTTTTTTTTTTCCTTTTTTTCTTTTTTTCTAGAAACAAACTTCTTAGATCAGTTGTCTTGTGAAATGTTTAGCCCACTGGCCAGCAGGCACTGAGAATGGCATCATATTAGCTGAAAGATGACCAGGTAGTGAACCTTTTTTCTGCAGAACAAGAGAGACAGCAGCAGCAGTTACCCACCATCTGGCTTATTCAAGTATGCTGTTTTATTCTGTAATCAGCCTTTGTTTTTGAACAGGAAGAAGAAGAATAACAACCTGGTTGGTGAGTTCAGTGGGTTGGTAACATGGTTTCTATAGGTCCTTGATTGTGTATAGCAAGGAAGTGAAGGGAGCTTCCTCTGAACAGTGTCCTTTGAGCACATGTCAGTGAAACCCTTTAAGTCTGTGCTCTCTTGACTAGAGGAAGCAATGCCAGGCTGGTGCTTTCCAGTAATTTGAGGATATAAAAGCTCCCTCTTCAATAGCTGCAAGAGAAATGTGTGGTACTCAAAAATGTGACAAAATGGGAAAGGGTTAAGAGAGATGTCTCCTGGTCATCTTTGTGCATCCTTGTTCACCCCAGATGTGACAACTAAGTCTGATGTGAATCTTTGTCTGGAGCTGGAAGAATTTTTTTCACTGCCTTTTGTGTGTTGGAGGCTTAACCTTAACAGTGTTTGGGATCAGAAGGAAGAGGATGGACTGTAGGATCCCTTCTGATCTTACTGCTTTGCTGTGTGATGCTTTGCAAAATATTTTACTTATCAGTGTGCCTCAGTTCCCACATGTGATGGTAAAAGATACTGGCTGATAAAAAGAGCAATGTGACAAAGACAAGTTGCAGAGAAAGCCAACTTTGGGATCCAGGTTTCATGCCAGGACCCGCAAATCACACAAAAACCCAACCCCCATGAGCTTCTGTGCCCTGGAAAGACAGCCCCAGCCCCCACTGGTGGCTGTGCAGGGGGTGAGAGCAGGGCCAGGCTGCAGGCCCCTGCCCAGCTGCAGCCACTCTCCTCAATAGCCCGGGCTGCACAGCTGGGTGAGAGGAGCTGCACAGCCCCCTGATCAGCCTTCGTTAGGGCACCTGCTCTGCTTTGGAGGCAGACATTTTAGACTTAGTCCTTGCTTATTGAAACTTGGCATCTTCTGGCAAGTAAGTGCTTTTTAATAACTATTTTCTCTTGATTTTGTCTGTGATAGAGTGGGGGAACTGGCTGTGTAGCCAGTGGTTACATCACCCTGGTCTGGGGTTTGTGAGGAGTTGCCAGGTCTATCCTGATGTGTACTGGTGGAAAGAAGCAAGGGGTGCTGCCTGGGGCAGGGAGGGGGCTGTGGAAAAGCCCAGTCTGTGGCTACTTAGTTGTTTTCATTTGCAGTGCCTGCTAGAGAAATGGAAGCTGCCTTTGCTTTTCCTTTGGTGGGGCAGTGTGATTCCTGGGGAAAACAAAGGCTGGACAGCAGGTCTGGAGTAGCTTTTTGTTGCAAACAGTTTGTGTTAAGGTCTTCATGCTTGATTAGATCCTCCACAGCCAGAAGGTTGTGGAGAACATTGATGACAGGAAGCTTTGGAAGGTCCCTTCTGTGGTGGTGCTTTATGTTAAGTACTAACTTTATCTAGTAGTGATCCTGTGAACCAAAAACTGGTATTGAGCTTGAGGGAGAGTTTTGCAGCCTGGACTTGGCCTCCTGTACCATTGGGTTGTATGCAAGTGCAAAGCAAGAGAGGGCCTTGGCCTCCAGGGATTGAAAACATAAATAAAGGGATGCTGTGAGGTGAAACATAAGAAATTATTTACTTAAGGGTACAGGAGAGAGCTTCCAGTTTTCTTCATTTTCCCTTTTATTGTCTTATCTCCAGACCATGCTGCTTCCTCAGGAGTCAGCTTCTGCAGGCACCTCTACAGCTGTGTCCACTTACTATGCTGATGAAAGGCTGGTTTTATCACTATGGGTGCTCTCAAAAAATGAAATAAAGTAATGGAAGTGTACCTAGGGTGGATTTTGGGCTACTGGGGAGGAAGGAAGATGGAGGGCAGGGCCCAACTCCTCCCCTTGCAGTGCAGTACAAGCTCTGAACTGCATACTTGTAGATTGAGGGACTGGCATGGTCTCTCCCAGCTCAGGGAAAAAAACAATCCCATCCCCAAAAGGGAGCAAGCACTAACCTAATAAAGGCACCAGCTGGACGAAGGGAAAACCAGCTCTTTGGAAAAAAAAAAAAAACAAACCAAACACAACCTCCTTTCATTAGAAAAATAATATATTTCATCCAAATAAGGTAAAAATATTTGAAATGGGGCAGAAGTGAGCACTAGACAGCATCTGTCAGGCCCTTTCTGAAAAGGGGAAGATTATTAAACTCAAATACAATTTATTTTTGTAAAGTGTCTTTCAGACTAAAAATCTCCCTAGATTCTTTGCAAGGACTGCTCAGGGGTTACTTACAGCATTGAGCATCTTAGAACAACACCCTTGTTTTTCCACCAAGCCCTTCTTTTCTGCATCTGCTGAA